AGCATATGTCTATAGGACTTTTTTTCTTAGTTTTTTACTCCTCTACACGCTCCCGAAGTTTTGCGATTTAATTTGGAAACACCCTGTATATTAACGAAATATATTTTATTCTAGTTTACAGATTCAATTTGTCTTCTCAAATAGATCAATTTTTTATAAAATAAATCAGGCTTGAAATACGCATATAGATAAATTTCTATTCATATTCTAAAATTATTTATTAACTTAGTAACAATGCAGCAAAAGATTTATATTTAAAAAACGTGTACCTTACGCACTATACGAAATTATAATCGCGATATCAAAATTTTTTATTTAAATACGTAAAATAAATGTATAAATATAAATATAATATAACATGATAATTACATTATAAATCTTTGAAATATAATTTCATTATTTGTTATTTTAATTAAAATGGTTAACTTTTAGTCAGCTGTCAACAATATCGATCAGCAATATATCAATGATATTGTTAATAATGTGACTTGGAGAAGAAATCAAAGATTACTGACTAATCAGTCTCGTCATTACTCAAAGATCTCGGTGAGAAATACGATCGTTACTTTACTTCGTTAATTGGAAATGCGAGGTTAATTGCTGTTCGATTAGGCCGCGATTACTCGCATTTATCGTCGTTACTTATAATAAATCAGCCGCTTGGTCACAGATAAACGTGTATGCGAACTTCACGGACACCGCAATCCTTGGTAACTTTGCTTAACTACTAACATGCAACTAGCATTTTTTGTTTCGTATCTTAGCTGTGAGTGTAATTATTTACGAATTTCTTTGAATTAGTACGAATTCAAAGAAAAAAATGTATCGAATATAGAACGCATGAGAAAATTCTACAATAGAAATAACATAACTTGTCAAAAAGTTAATTCTATTTTTATCGAAAATACGCACATAAAAATTTCTTGAAAATATTCGGCAAGCATCCAATTTAGTTCTTAACTTATTTACAAATTATAAAATGTGAAACATATTTTATAATATATATATATATTACATATATAAAAGGAAATTCTTTTATATGTTAAATAAGTTGTATGTGTTAAACGCAGTTGGTTTGCTACATACTAAGCACAGACGATTACACATATTTCATCGTGATGTACTGTTTATTAAGAGTATATTATGTATTTCTTACATTATGAAATTACAAATTGCGATCATAACTTCTAATATGCAATTCGTAAATTGAAAGCATGCACATAGTTATAGACATTATCCATTTTATAACTCAGAGGGTTGATGTTGCAATAAAGATTAGCATTCCTACATATATATAATATTTGTATAATATTCTTTTATCATGCATCATAAAATTATTGCAGCATTGCTACGTAAAATTAGGCAATTAACTATGGTTTTAGATAGTAAAAGATTTCTGTTGATATCAATTAATTTTTTTTTACTAATACTTTGAATTCAGCTTGATACTAATCCGTTAAATACATTTTAACATCTCGCTCGAATTTCTAATAAAAAAAAGCGTCAAAACTGATAATGTAGTATTATGTATCTACTTTGACGTAACGTCGTAAACGTGTACAATTTCCATATGAAAACAGATTAAATTACTGAAAGATTATATCTTGTCGTACATTAACTATACAATTTCAAGAAGCGCAATTGCACCATCATCGTCGTAGATGAGTTCTATCAAGATATGCGCATGTCGAACAAAACAAGAATGCATTCGAGGCTTCAAAAGACTACTCTTGTCCGCACTATCACCTCTCGCATTAATCAACCGCTTGTGGTGGTAAATTCTTTGTGCAATTATAATAACCACTGTACCGCGCATAAAGTATAAGAGCTGTAGATTTCAATAATTATTATTTATCATCAATTATAAAAGCGTACTGCATACAAATCTAATTATCAATTCTGCTCATTGTTTGAAAATAATAAAGGAATACCGATAAAGCATAAATCGATCTTTTCGTAGTTATCAGATTTTGAATAATTTTATGTAATGTTAAAAAATAAAGTTTTTTTTTAGTTATTACACATTTATTTATAGCTTTAGTTTTCGTCATAAACTGTTTATTGCAGAGATCATTGTAAATTCGATCCTATATCTTATACATGCTCCATGAAATAGCAAATCGCATAATCACAACGACGGTTTAATGGAAATGCTCGATAAATAACGTGCTCGCTGCCCTTTGCCCTAATGGAACTGACGACGTAAGAGTGATTGCTCTACACGTACATTTAGAAAAAGTATTTAACGTAAAACAAGAATATGCGTGCATCTCTCAGTAGGGGGCTACTATAGGAAAGAAACTGAAATAGCGTGCCAGGTATAAGAACCTCTATTGTAAGTTGATGCTTATCCTAATACCGGTAGCTCGTATCCACAAGGGAACTTTTCTTTCTTTTTCCATATCTTTTTCCCTCTCTTTCGCTCTCTTCCTTGCTTCGAGAAATCAGGATTTTCCACTTTAAACAAGATTAGATAGCTTATATCTAGAAAAGTAACGCAACTTCCAAAAATTCGAACACAAATATCTTCTTTAAATATTTAAGAATTAGTTACTGTATTTGTTGTATGATTTCGAGATTTTACAAATTAAATTGGACTTATAATTTTTTTTCTTTTCTAATAATAATTTGACGTTTTTGATAGATTTTTAATACATTACTAACAAAATGAACAAACTATAATATAGCTTTAAATTTTTAAAATAATAATATATGAAAGAATAAGGTATCCAAGAAATAAGTCATAAATTATGATTTAATCAATAAATCATAAAAAGAGCCCGAGCGAGCCAACATTAGGTAATCGTGTATAAAAAGTATACACATATATTAATAAAATAAAGTTACAGACCCTATATACATTTGAATCCACTTTAGTATAGTATTGACAAGTTAACAAAAAATATACTTATTTTGTTTTACAATAAAATTGTCAAAATGAATAAATATGGATCGTTGTTGAATCAGAAAGCATCGTAAGAAAGGATAATATCAACAGATAAAAATATCATCAAACGTCTTTAGTATTTGGCAAAATACTCAAATCGTAAGTTAGAAATTAAAATTAATTATATAATAATGATGAAATGACAAAGTGAAGCTCAAATTAGAACAATGTATGTATATGATATACAAGATATTGTGAGTTTGACAAGCTAATAACGTAAAAAAAACTAATGCGCGTACATAATAGTTAGAAAGAACTTGAAATTTTTAAGTACACAAACAAATGTACATACCTGCGTGAAAATATTTTTTTAAAAGTTAAAATAATGGTTCCTTTTTTTCGATGAGTAATGGATGATCCAAGAAACAACTCCAGAAATAGCATTCTATAGCAACATTTATCTTTTTACTGCAGACACTATCTGTAATGCAGCTACTTTGTACTGGCGCCCAAGAGGTTTATCTTTTATCTTGACGCGATCTCGGCTATCAATTATGAGACATCAATACGATCGTCCTTCTATAATCCCATAGATCTTAGTCACATCACTTTAGAGATTAAAATACCAACGATACACTAAAATACTAGATAATACTTAAGTAGAATAGCATAGGCGACTCGTTCGAAGTTAAAGCTCATGTCTAGAAATGCATTTTCGGCTGCAGACATAGAATGCGAGTGGAACGAAACTCCAAAGTAAGAGAATGCGTCGCCTTTGTCAAGGTTCAGTCTGAGTCGTAAATTGAATTAACGAACGATACTCGTGAATTTCTTTTTCGATAATGTGAAAATTATGTCGAATCTTTAAAGGCGAATAGCAATTTTTATTTAAATGTAAGATAATCTTCACATATACAGTTTCTAATTTAATATTTTAGAAAATATAATATTTCGTACCGCTAACACTTAAATTAAAATGATGTTAATGATAAGTAAATTACTATTCTAAAATTAAATTCATTTAATTCTTGACTCATTAACAAATATCTCATACGATTTACTTTAAATATCACGATTTACTTTTTGTGAATTTACATAGAATAAATCTTTTAGAGGAAATGAAATATTATAATTTATTTGCTTTTTTTTTATTTTCCTGCAATATTATATTTGCTTTTCTGTATTTATCACATTAATATTTTATTGATAAAACTTGATCACAGCTAATATCTCGATATTTTATCAAGGAATTCATTATCAAATTAGAAATTTTACGCAATCAGTTACGCGATGATGGTTCTTTCATGATAACGAAGCAACATCTAATGGAGTTGTTTCCTAAGCCGTCTTCCAGATTTTTATATTATCTGAACACGATCTTGGCTACCAATTGTCGCGTCGATACGATCTATACAAAACCCTTTGAGCAGTAACGCACCCACAATCTCGTGATTCTGTTCAAACGAAACCGCTACAAAATGTTATTGATTCTTTTTATTTGTCTAGTAGTTTCACAATTTACATTTTATTTTCTTTCTTTCTTAACTAATTCAAAATTCATTGTAAAATACATGTTTATTTAAACCAGTAATGAAATTGTCTGTATCAATAATTTATAATATGTACTAAAATTTAAAATATGAATGAAAAAGGATAAAAAACAATGCAGCATTATAGTAACTTGCATCAATAAAATATAAATACCTAATATTTTCTTTAATACTAAAGAATTTATAGCAATAAAAATTGGATGAGCGTGTGACAAACATAATATGTAACAGTGAGATTTATTTTTCATATTTTATTGATAACATACAATTCCAAAATCGTAACATTAACCGAAGTGTGTATGCGCCGTTTATATCGCTGGTATGTAAGAATTTTAATAAATTGACGATACGTAATCTTTTTCCGCGACAATCAAAATACCTAATGTTCAGTTAAAGGATTCTCTCATACTCTTCAAATGCTCTCAACACTCGGTATTACAGCTATAGGCGCAACCATTGGATGATTCACGAATGTGTGCTCTCGCGATTCATTCACTCGTAAACCCTTTTATGAGAGTATGAATTTAATGTTCAACTACTGAAATTTATATCATACTTTTTCGTTCGTACGTTTCATACATACGGTAACAATCATATACTCCAACATTTTGCTTGATTGATGTCATCAATTCTCGTAAATGTTGTCAAGTGAGCCGGAATAAATGTAACATTTTCCTTTCGATTTTATAAGCACATGTTATAGGTTTCTTCCTTTTGGAAACTAATGGATATATTGTGCTTTTTATATACAAAATGTTTCTATAAATTCTTACTGTTAAAACAATGTTTTAATATTTATGTTTATGCAAAAAGCATTATTCCTTTTCTTATTCATTTTATATTAGATTCTGAAATTGCACAGTAAAATATTTTTCGTCATATACTTTGGGAGATTTTCTTTCAATATGAATGCTCTTTAGAGAATACTAGTGGCAGTTGTAGTGGGTGCGCAATCTAAAATAGCGAGACGGAATTTTTCGTAACATTGTAGCTAAATGTTAACTCTTGTCGTTCAAGTAAAAAATAAAAAAATGTCCTCTCTCGACGAGTTAGTGTCTTTCCTCACAATAAGCCGACGATGTCTTCCCGTGTCCTCCGAAGATCCCTGTCTCGTGACGCGCACTATAAAATTCATAAAATATCACTAATTTATGTTCCGGGCGGAATGTGCAGGAGCGTCCAGACGCTGGTTCCATCATGGCGGTACCATAAACGGGACGATCAGGTATGTACTGAGACGCGGCCAGGGTGTTCTTTCGTGGAGAACGTTCGTTTCGATTTCTTTCTCGTTGTGAATGCGTGAAAGGGACAAAGAAAGAGAGAGAGAGAGAGAGAACTAGCAGAACGGGAAGGGCAAGAGTGCACTTTCCATGCACTCACACCCCTTTGACCATTCGTCGTCCATTAGCGACCTCGACTTGGAATGCAATTCTCGGCAGGAGGTGAGAGGGACGAGGCTAAATGGCTGGAGGAGAAAGAGGATAAAGTGCTGGGAGTTGAAACTGAAGGCTTTGGAAAGAAGGAATAAGGAAAGACTGAGTATCTGAAACGAAAAGAAAAGAGATAGGAAAAGAAAGGTTAATAGAGAAAATTAAGGGAAAGGAGCGTTGTTAAATGTACAAAGAAAGGAAAAACTGTATAAAAAAAAAGAGAGAGAAAGATGGTTCATTTCATGATTTAAAACTATGAAGATTAGCAAGCACATAGACAAATCTAACAATAAGTTCCTAGTTTTGAAAATTTAAACTTGTGGTGTATGAGATATTTCGTTTAAAAATTTATTATTACACTAGTCATTATCTCTACACTTTTTTAAAAATGAAAGCATTCTCGTAACAGCGTCGCAAAACTAAAAGTTATATAAAAAAATTTATAAATGATAGAAACAGAGAAGACGAAGAATGGAAAGAAAGAGATAACGCAGCAAAGAATTATTGGGAGGAGAGAGGAGGTGAGCGAGATGGAAGTAGGTTCGGAAGGAGGCTGTCACCAGGCTTCTCTTGCATCGAAGGGGTCCCGCCGCGGAACAAAAATTATCTTCCCTGACAAGAGTGGGCAACTGCTTCCAGGAAAAGGCGATCCTTGTGTTGGTCATCCCGTAGCACGCATTAGCGCCGTCGTCCGGCCAGTTTTGTTTTTCCGAGTTTTATTCTTGTTCGTTTGCCGTCTTTCTCTCTTTTCCTCTCTCTCTCTCTCTCTCTCTCTCTCTCTCTCTCTCTCTCTCTCTCTCCTTCATGTTTCTTTTTCCCATTTCTCGTCTTCTCGTTCTACGTCGCCACGGGCCACCGGATTGTCGGCGCCAATTAAGACTCGTTCTTTAACTCCTTCGACGCATCGCGTTGTCTCAAACTAACAGCATTGTAGCGATACTCACGGTAGCCCCCAAAAGAATTTTATTTGCAGTGGAACTTTTTGCTGTATTTTCGAAAATTAGATAAAACATCAAAGAAAAAACAGCATTAACCGAAAAAATCAGAGATCTTCTTATTAGTCCACGACTTATTTAACAGGTTTGCCTAAAAATGTGCAAATTTTTATAAAAAAGAAAGGTCCGTATTTGTAAATTGTCATTTTTAATTGTATATGTTTTATCAATTCCTAAATTTTTTGCTACCAACAGAGTATTTTGTATTATACTTATAAATTGTACAGTTTGTAAAAAATTAAGTTTCATACATTAAATCGATGGCATTTTTATTGTTGGTTGATCATTTTTGTTATATAACACACGTCTATCAACGTTAATTAGGGTCAATCGATTAGTCGAAAGCGTTGTAATGCTTGCATTATCTTATGGGGATGTTGGGATAAAATATGACCGGTGCACCTCACCATTAAGTAACAGAAGAGATAGGTGTGGCGCCGATCAGAAAATTGAAGGGTGCAGCTTGATCAGGGATAGTCGCCCTTTTTTGCACCCACTACTTCTATCACTTTCATCTCATTGTTGCTTGGAATTACTAAAAATTTCATCAATATAACAGTATTACTAATCATCATGCATGACACGTATCCACGATAATCCAATTTTTATTACGTAAATAAATAATAAATAAATAAAGCGAGAGAGAAAGAAAGAGAGAAAGACAGAATATGTTAAATGACATATTTTAGATTAGATTATTAGAAACATATAATATTTCAAATATTAGAAGTAGTTCTTATGTGTGTTACAATGTTTATTTTTAAAAATTAAAATATTATCAAAAAGATATATCTTTAATAAAATCATATATAATATTATGTACTTGTTATATATTATTATTATAGAAAATTTTATAACTTTTTTAAATATCATCATCCAAGTTATATGAATGACGAATATAATGAGAATACTTGCGTGAGAAAAAATAATTGTCCAGTATTACGTTTTTTGAATAATAAAATCTCGCCGTAAATATATATTTTATTGCTTTTCATTTTCAAAAAGAATATTTATTGGCTAATACATAGTTTATTTTCTTAAATTTATAGATTGTACGCCTTTGATGCTAGGCCTTTCACCTGTGCAAACCGGCTGCATAATAACAAATCAACTCACATGCATTAAACATTAATGTAATTTACATATCGACATCTGTACGTTACATACAGTCCTCTTGCACACAATAAATCTTACGTCCTGCGCACTATTTCATGTTACGCTTGTATGATACAATATAAATATCAATTTTTATGAGTTATATTCGTAAAAAAAAAAAACTAATAAAAATTTTTATTTAACCTATTCATAATAAATTTAATTTATATATACAAATCAATTTTTTTACTTATAAATTTTCGGAGTAATAGAAGATTAAAAATTTCGCATTTTCTATATCTTTCTGTCATGATCTACTAATTTAGAGGTTAAATGGAAACATTGGAAAAAAATTATTTTTTATTTTAAAAATTTGAAATACTTAATAATAATAATCCAAATCTTTTCGGTTAATATCAGTTAGCATTATAATATTGCCACTCTTTTCTTCTAATTATCATCTAATTGCGAAAATTCATATTTAATATCAAGTTTAGTATCTTCTAAAGAACACATTTCTTCGCTGCATAGCTTCTGTCAATCGATGGAGATACAATATGCTTTCGCGGCAGCTGCACTTTCGAGATCTCCCGCTTTATGTCGCTTAGAGAGTCTCGCGATTCTTGCGAATCCATTCTGTAATTGGTAGAGATCTTCTACCCAATCTAATCGTCAACAGTATTCGTCGGCGGCGTTCGTCTTCTCGCTTCCTGGAAACCGGGCTGCGCGCGCGTTGTGTTGGCGAACGCGACTGTATGCAAGGGGAACGTGGGTGCAGAATCGATCGTAGGTCCTGGTAATAGCCTTGTGGGCGAACGAGTCGCTGAAAGTCGGAAAAGAAAAAACTCGGTGGACGACGCGGTTTCAGCGTGACGGAAAGAGGCGAAAAGATAGGAAAATAAAGTGCGGAATAAAGGGACATAAAAAGATGATTCTCGACGAAGTTCATCGGGATGCACATCGATGGGCAGCTTGATCGCGAAACGCAGATGAGAATCCTGCTAATGTTGGCAAGAATATCACAGAAGAATAAGCAAATGAAATTTCAAAAACTCTTAGAAAAATTTTAAAAATATTAATATCAAGAATGTTGAAAGTTGAGATTAACTTTTATATCAAATATTATACGATACTCTAATACGTATTTATATTTGTAAGATATTAGTTAATTCTGTTTTTTTTTTATACTTAAAGAATAGAAAAAATCTTTAATATCCGACAAAATTAATTTTATAAAATATCTTATTTATGGTCACATTTTAAATTCATGATATCTCTCTCTCTCTCTCCTGTTTTTTTAAGGATGCTTTTCTCGAGATGTTCCTATTTCTTGCAAAATCTTGGAATCTACACCACCACAACTGTGTATACTTGTGTCTTTGTCATCACTCTGTTATCGCGAGTGTGCATATTACTATCAACCACGTTCGGATGAGAGTGGTCTTATCATTGCACCGGAGTATCGTTGGAAGTTAATGAATGCATCATCAAGTTTATCGAGAAATGTGCATACAGAGCGATAGTAGCGGTTTAATTTACAAAAAGTACAGTACAAGCGACTCTTATAAACGATAAACATGCAGCAGACCACATTTTGGCGGGCACGGTGCGATTAAATGTTCTCGAACGATCGAATGGTGCAAGCTTGATTATTAAAAACCATTTTTCATAACAAGCGTCTCTCGAAACTGTATCTTGCAATGAAAGATAGTAAGATAATAATTAAGCATATCTAATGATATAATGATTTCAATTTATATTTAGTCAGCAATAATATATTTTAGCGATATATGATGTATAAGTTTACAATTCGTTATAGTCGAATGTTATCAGTATAAATAGCGCTAAACGATACAATATTCAGATTAATTTATTATTATGGAAGAAATATGAATCAATTAACTTTGTGAAGGTGTTTGTGCGTATTACGTATTATTTCGTATAAAAAATATGAGAACTTTGATATATTACAATCGTCTAGTATATAACGTTACTATCTCTATAATATTACTGTGCCTCGATAAAATATCTGTTTCATGACTATATTTATCATTCATAATAATTGTACACGAAGTTCAACGTAATTTACATTACATATTAAACAGCCAACATTAATATTTAATAGGTGTTTAAAAATATTTAATAAAACATTGGAATATTATCAAACATTGGAATCCTCTCATCATTGTACCGACAAACAGAAACAATATTTCATTGCAATCATTCTATATTGTGTATCCAACTGTGCATACATTATGCTATCTTGAAGATCCCTAAGGTTAATTTGAGTATTGATCATATTAGTGGCAGCCATTCGCGACATTGCCGCGGAGTTCGCCGACGGAATGGCGGCTTGTATAGCCGACTTATGCCTGCATAAACGCTTCGTTCTCATAATAATTTTACAAAAATATGCTGCATAAAATTTTAATGACAACTAGAAATGCATATTGTTATTATGATGGCCTATTATAAAACTTTATAAAACTCTATTTTAGAGTAAAAAAAAGTTTTTGATAATAAATTTACTTTGTTTCACATTGCCTTTTGTCCGTTTCTTGATGAAATTAAATGTATCAAATTTTTAATTGTTTACCTTTTAAAAGTTTTGATATTCTATTAAAGATTTTCTTTAAGTAATCCTATAGAATTTCTAGATCAAAGGATATTTTATACTTTGTATAAATTCCTTTATTTATTGTAATTATTGTATTTGAGAACTGATTTTTCTCTCTATATACATACATTTTAATTTCTTTAAATGATTCTATCTTTTTAATGAGAATTTTCACGTATTAAAAAAATATATTAATATTTACGCTATATTTTTTTTATTACATATGGTTATTTTATATTTAGAATTTTGAGCAAAAAATATCAAAGAATTGTTGTAACAATCAAAGCATTGACGGAAAATTATTTAAAAAATGTTTTCGAGAAAGCTACATTAATATCAGCTTCTTGCTTAAATAATAATCGATCGAAACCGAATTTGCAACGGATGATTTGTTAGTTTAATAGCCCGAAAGAGATTTCTACTATCAATAGCTATGTAGCACAAAAGAGGACATAAAAATAGCCTAATATATCAACGACGAATATCAAAAAAGATATTCGTTTATTCATGGAATCATAAAATGGTCGACACTTGCCAATCGTAATATAGAGAATCGTATTTACTTTTAAAAAAAGAAGAAAATATCGACATTGGGCTGCATGTCTGAGCGTGCACAATTCAACAATCGCGCTGATAACATAGTAATTATAGAAAATTGCGTTGAAAGTCCGACAATCATATCGGCACGCATTTATCATTTCTGAAATTAATTCATTTAAATGAATTTACAATAGTTCAACATCTTAACGTTCTGACCGTTATGGCGCTTCTTAATTTAAAATTATTATGTTTAACATTAGCGGTCTTTCAATCTTATTATTAATTATAGAAAAGTTCGCGTTGAATAAATTAAATCAATAATAGCACGATAAAAGGCATAAAATGACGGGTCGCCTGAACTTATCCTTATACTTATTATAGATTATTAGACTGTGCCTAATAGATATTAGACTGTGGTTACTTAATTCGAGATTATATATACCGTAAAGAAAGTTTCTTTAGTCTCAGATATAATACGTTTTTAATAAGATTTATAATGATTTATAGTGATAATAATGCAATTTGTAAATATTAAGTCGAATAATTTTGTCGGAAAATAACATTATAAAAGAATAATAAAATATATAGAAAACATAATTTAAGAATATAATAATAATTAGTTGATTATGTTTTTAGGACATGAATAATAAATTCAAGAAAAAACAAAATGATTTTTGCGCTTGAAGTTTAAACAATATTAAAGAAGTCTCCAATTAAATATTGTAATTACGCGTTAACTGCTGTTTCTGCATTCCTGAGGTGACTCGAGATTTGTGTCCCATTCACATATGTAAATATCTATACGTGTAGACTAACAGCGTGTCCTGGGCCAAACTACGATCAAACATCGTAGAATACTACCCAGATACAAGATGCTCCCTCAACATCAAAATGTTGGCGCCATTCTTGTACACGCGAATCTGCATACATACATACAAATTACATTCTTCCACACGTAAAGATTTTATATGCACATATATCCTCTGTAGGATGCTTGGAAATCGCAGATGATAGTTTCAAGAAAGGTACAGAAATGAGGCGGGACATGTTTATCAATTGCAAAAAACAAAGTCAGAAATTATTGTCGATTTAGTTTCCTTGCCCCTACTATTTTTTAAGAAAATTGTCCATTATAGTATAAAACTGTTATACAATTAACTGTTAAACAATACCATTTTGATCTTTTTGGCAATAGCTCTTTCAGTTGGCACTTATATTTTATTTCTTTTTCTTATCTTCTTTGTATAAGATAATTTATTTAAGGATTATATCACATTCTTTAAAATACTGACTACTTTTAATCGAATGGATTCCATTATATAAATATACGTTCCGTTTTGCACTTTGCTGCGCGTGACTTGGCGCAAGAAATGACCGTATCTCTTAACTGATGATATTAGAATAGAATCAAAAAGATAGATCAAAAAATTATTTTGCAATATTCTCGGTCGATGCACACGCAATATATATATAATGCATTTGCTATTAAGAACTATTGAGAAGTCGCATATTTTTCACCTGTAGCATAGAAATATCCTATGAACAAATATTCAGTATATTTCCAGATGAATGATTGACACGCTTGCTTTATATTATGTAGATATGTATATTCCTGTACTTTTCTGTAAATAATATTAACATTTTAAAGTGTTATATTTATCCATTGCTTATTCTATTTAAATCAAATATATAAAATAAACAATTTATCACACCATAAACAAAATATGCAATTTTATTCTTTTATTTATTTCATCTTATAGAGTACATAAGTGTCTTCTTTAATTTTCATTTTCCTATATTTTACGTTTTGATACTAAAAGCATATCTTTTATCAACACTATTATCTAGATTTCGAGATCTCTGTTCATATGAAATTTAATACATCTCATGATTATGTCGTTGCAAAACTTTACACTACTATTATTTGCAACATTTGATTGCCCGATAGAAATTTTTGGAAATCTATTCAAATAATGAATAAGTAAGAATGAAATTTAATGGAATCAGGCCTCAATGTTCGAAGTACAGGAGGTGTTAACTTACTTTGTTGACTGTTGTCATTGCAAAGTGTCTGAGAATGCAATTCATAACCAATATCGTACTACCAGCATCGAGATATTTTAGCTTCGATCGGCGGTATCTCATCGGTACATTAAGTCCGTCATGATTCATATTTCATCGTGCATTTCTTGGAAGGTGTCTTATCCGCATTGATATTGTGCAGGTATGCAATGATTTATCGTTTAGCAATAGTACTATCGAATTATTGCCATTATGAATTGAAACTTATAAATGAATAAATAAAATAAAAAACTAATAAAAGCTTCTTTCACAAAATTGATACATTAATTTTTATATAATAGTATCGTATTCGATTTAAACTTTTAAATCTTTTCTAATAAAAAAAAGTTATGTATATTGTCTTGTCTTTCATGTCCTAAAAAAGTTTAGAGTCATTGTATTCAAAGAAATACTGATTTTAAATTAGATGAATTTTGCATTTATATTAATAATCAGGAGTTTCGAGATATCTACATGGAGAGAATTTTTTCTTAGAGTTTACCCTGAAAATATGGTCGTGGGACCACATTGTATTTCGAAGAATTTTAATGTAAATCTCTCTCTCTCTCTCTCTCATTGATAAAACTACAATAAAGTATAAAATAAGTTTGATTAATTTTACTGAAGTGCATGGTAAAAATCTTTAAAATATTGTATTGTACCACAACTACCATATTTTCAGGGTAAATTTTAAAAGAAAATTCTCTCCGTGTAATATTTAAATTATCATCAAACGCAGTCTGAATTCTAACTTCTTAATAATATTTAATTGTAAGTGTGTTAAACTTTGAATAGATTGAAGACTTCGACAATTATAACAAGAAGCGATTAATATAATTTCATATTCAAGAAATATATAGTCTACGATCACATGATAAGTAATATTTATAATATATTGAACTAAAATAATTACGTCTTACAAGTACTGTATTTTCAAAAAATATACCAGCTATTTCTACCGTTCTGTCGGTTATTATCGGTGATTTTTGTAATTCAATCGTCATTATACTTTATCGGTTCATCCTTGACGGAGATATTCTTGTTTCATTGTGTACCTTGGTCAGCGTTTATTTCTAATAAATATGTTTTCGTCCACCGAGCGAACATCTGCCGCGCATCTATCTAATCTTGTTCTTTACTACGTTGATAAAGATTTTTCCTATTCAACCGGTAGTATTTTCACAGAATTTTTAACATCGCAAAAGCCACTGCAGTTATATTTCTCTAGCGAAACCTATATAAAAATCGTGTTAGACTTTGATTATTTTCTTTTCGAACGGTTTTTATTAAAATATTAGAAATCTTATTTTCAGTTTCAAAATTATTTTACTTCATCACCCACCCAATCTCATCTTCGCATAAATCACAAGTGATTAAAATAAAATTCGCTTGTATTCGCTCGATCAGTATCGAGTCCATCCTAGACTGCGAAGAACATCTTTTTCTCGCTCGCGAATCACCGTCGACAATAAATCGTCATCTCCCACCCGATTCACTTCACTGAATTTCGTGGAACCTCATGGCGCACAACCAAATACTAAAAACGATAAATTACAATCTAAAAATGCTTGCTGAGGGAACCGAAGGTGCAGGAGGCAGACAACAGGGAGAATCCTTCTCCCCGAAGAAGAAGGACAGAACAAAAGAAGCTCGTCGAACGGCAGAGAGGTGCTTTCGATGAATCGACAACGGGGAAGGGATTCTCGAGGGCGGCGCCACGTTTGCGCCACGGTATAAAGAGCCCCGGAGGGGAATAAAAAGGTGGAAAAAAAGGAGCTCGGTGAGAGTGGCTAACATGGAATAGCCCTTAGCCGGCACGATAGCCGCTCTTTAGGCTGATGGACTCTTGCCCCCTTTTCCCTTTTATCCCCTCATGATGCCACTCTCGTTCTCTTCGCCTGTCACCTCTTGCCTGTGGTCCAGCTTTCTACCTTCATCGCATTCTCTCTTTTTCTCTGTATTTCCTCCGCTTATATCTGCTCTCCTTTCCTATTTGCATTTCGCGATCTTTGCTGTGCCTTTGCCTTGTGTATATTGTAAGTATACATCACAAGAATATTGGACTTTGTTTAACATAATCATTATCAAATTCTATGCGTATACCTATTAAATACTTTTCAGTAATTTCATTTACTAAAAAAAATTTAGTAAATCTATCTATAACATATGTATTTACTAATAAATAGTAAAATCATAATTTCTTATTATATAATTGAAGAATGAGGAATATACAATTTTTATTAGTTTGGTTAATCAATGTATGTTACTTGAAATAAATGGATTATCTTGGTACGTAAAAAATCTTGGATAGAAAAAGAGACGCACTAGAGTACAGTTTCATAAACGACAACGAATCTGTGCGTTTTATTATTCATACTTATTTATTATACAAATAAGTTGCTCAACACTAATTAAATAATTTAATTAATTCTTCTTGATATGTATTAATCAATAAATTACGTATCACTGAATAGATAATTACTCATAATTAAATAAATGTTATCTTTGCAAGAACTCTTCGGCAAATGCTAAGACATGAATTATTATATAGGCAGCAAGATATTCGCGAGAATATTGTTTTCACTTTATTATTCTGTATAATTACGAGCAACATATCTACATTATTGCATTTTTAAATCAGTGATGTTAACAGTATTTAAGTTATAAAAAAGGAGAGATAATAAAAATTTACTAGAAAATTAAGAATTTACTATTATCTCTACATTTGTAATTTATGAATCAAGTATAATACATATTTGATTTATGTGTAACTTGTAATTTTATGATGCAATAAGATGTATCTGTACAATTATATTTATGTATAATATAAATACTGTTCTGCAAAGGAATCTGGATGTCGTTCTAAGGGATATTGAACTTTTATCGTTCTTTAAAAAACGATTAACAAAATATATCTAAGTACGTGTATTTACGTTATATATTACTCTTTGGAGAGAAAATTAAAATATACATCTATACATGCACATATATCTAGATATTTCTTTGGATTATGTGGCATAAACACATATGTACAAAATTAGGCAGACCGTATATATCATATATTAAATATAAATCGCAGATAAGTATAGATTAGTCATTTGAGGTACTTTATATGTCACACTGCCTAAAAATTTATATTAGAATTGTCTTGTATTACACATTATCTCATATCTCACATTATCTGATATCAAAATTATTATGGAAAAACGTATTTGTCAAAAATCAAAAGAAG